GAGAGGCCAAGTTGTTTAGTTGGCCAAGGTTGCAGTATGACCACCCGCAGGTTCTAACTGGCCATTATGTCCCCTCAGTAACAGTAGCATATGTCCAAGTGTTGGTTATCCTATGGGACAAGTGTGGGGTGATTCTGAGGACCCATGTCTGGGTTTCAGATTGATCTTGAATGAGATTCTCTCTCTTTCTCGCTCTCTTTTCTCTATCTCAATCTCTTCCCCACTCTGACCCCCACCCTCCCTCCAGCTCATTTCTCACAACCCAGAGTTTTATGTGCTTGTCCCCTGGGGTCCTCAATTTAGAATCAAGTCCTATATTACTGTCTCAAGGTTTTATGTCCAGGGTAATTGGGGAGCCACTCAGGCAGTGTCGTCAAGTTTCAGAAGCTTAACTAGGTCCTGGGGAACAACTCAGAGCCTTCTGCCTGGAGTGAACTCCCCTCCCTTAACTTGGTGGACCCGTACTTGTCCTATCGGTGGAAGTATACTTGTCTCTGGAGCCATATCATGTGGTTCAAAGATTGTCTCTGTGCTTAATCAATGGTAGACAATATTATTAGCTATTAGGTCTCAGCTAACCAGTCTCCTCCTGAAAGATGCCTCCCTGACATGAGGTCCCCATGGCCAGATTCTGACTCTCTGCATTGGTTCTTCTTAGTCTCAGACTTTGAATTATTTGCATTCAGTAAATATTTGTTGATTAAATATATTAGTCTGCTCTGGCTACCATGAAAAGTACCACAGGCTGGGAGGCTTAAAGACAGACATTTATTATCTCACATCCCGGAGGCTGGAAGTCTGAGACCAAGGTGTGGGCATGGCTGGTTCCTTCTAAGGCCTCTCTCCTTGGCGTGTAGCCCTTCTTCTCCCTGTGTCCTCACATGTTCATCTCTCTGTGCATGTCTGCATTTTGATCTCTGATTCTTATAAGGATACTAATCCCAAGATCTTAGGGTCCACCTTACGGACCTCATTTCAACTTAACCACCTCTTTAAAGACCCATCTTCAAATTCAGTTTTCATTCTGAGGTCCTGGAGCTCAGAGCTTCAACATGAATGCTGGAGGAGAACATACTTCAGCCTTTAACAAGGAGTGAGAAACATACTATGGGATGGCTGCCTGTTTGCTTAGATCCTTTCAAGACCAAATTCATGATTTTTATCTATCTGGAAACTGCCAGGAGAGATCCTTGCCTTCCTGTGAAAATCGAACCCTCTCATGCTATGAAGCTCAGGGCAGAGCCAGAATCTTTTTTCCACTGAACAACCCTTGTGTTGCTCATAGAATGGCAGCTTGAGAACAGTGTTTTGAAACGTGTTCCTGAAAATCTGTGAGAAACATTCTTTACCTTTACTCAGAAACATTGGTTCTTTCTTCTGCCTGCATGGACATTAATTATTTTCATATTCAAACTGACTTGCATTTCTGTTTGGGTAGAAGCTGCATTTGGTAACACACATACCTGAGTTTGATTAGACTGTACAGTTTTAAAAGAAAGTGGGTCAGCTTGAGGGAGGCCATCTGTCAGAGTGCATTTGGCAAAAAGAAAACAGATGAGGGGGTCTTATAAAAGAGGCTGAGGTTTGTAGCCCAAAGGTACCAACAGAGTTCTGTGGCTTCCAACTGACTCCTTCTTTTCGAGTTATGTAACTGTTCGAGACAGCTGAACTGCGCTAGGTGTGGGATGTGTGTGGCCTACGAACGCCAGACATGGGACAAAACCTTACTTTTGGTTGTTGAAATGAGGACAGAACCAAAATGCTCAATGTATATAATTTTCTCAAATAAACTATTCCAGAAATATTTAGTGCTTTTCAGGAGGCAGAGTATAAGACCAAATCCTTGGGCATTTTAGCAATTAGTGTGTTTTAGTTTTGGTTTTGTTTTAGTTCATATATCCATCCACCTACTGAAACTCATCTTGGCTGCTTCTGAGTTCTGGCAATTATGAATGAAGCTGCTGTAAACATCAGTGTGCAGGGTTTTGTGTGTGGACATAAGTTTTCAACTCCTTTGGGTAATCACAGATATGCTCTTAAATTACAGTTTTTGTTAAAATTTCTAACAAACATGCTATTTCACATGAATGGATATTCTGGATAACTGACGTGTGGTGTGTTCACACACCAGAGGAGTTGTTCAAATTTTCATCTTCCTTGGTAATAATTATTTGATCAATTGTTTATAAACAAAACAGTTTGTGAAAGCAATTGTTTTCACAACATAGGCTCCAAAAATTTGACCTTCTCACAATTTCTCAAGTTATCATTGTGGGTAAACTGAATCATCCCCCATCTCCCAGCCCCTGGAACTCACCATTCTATTTTCTGTCTCTATGAGTTTGATTACAGTAGGGACCTTATATGAGTGAGATCATACAGTATTTGCCTTTTTGTGTCTGGCTTATTTCATATAGCATAATGTCTTCAAGGTCCGTCCATGTTGTAACATATTACTGAATTTCCTTTCTCTTCAAGGCTGAATAATATTCCATTGTGTGTATTTACACCACATCTTGTTATCCATTTTTCCATTGATGGACACTTGGGCTGCTTCCACCTTTTGGTGAATATTGCTGCTATGAACATTAGGGTACAGATGTCTCTTGTAATCTCTGCTTTCAGTTCTTTGGGGTATATAGTCAGAAGTGGGACTGCTGGTTACATAGTGGCTGAACCATTTTACATTCCCATCAGAAGTGCACAAGGATTTCAACTTCACATCCTCTCCAACCCTTGTTATGCATTATCTTATTGATAATAGCCATCTTAATGGGTATGAGGTGGCATCTCATGGTAGTTTTGATTTGCATTTTCCCAATGACTATTGATGCTAAGCATCTTTTCATGTGCTTATTGGCCATTTGTATATCTTCTTTAGAGAAATGTCTGCTCAAGTCCTTTACTTTAAATCTAAATTTCAGATAAATAATACATTTTTGATAATATGTCCCAATATGAGAGATGTATATGCTTTAAAAAAAGCATATTGCTTATCTAAAACTCATTTTTAACTAGTTGTCTTGCATTTTTATTTGAGAAATCTGGCAACCCTAAAGAGCGAGAACTTTGATGGATCTAAAACAATCTTTAAACATCTCACATTTTGCTCAGGTGAGCTCCGAAATGGCTTAGTGTGTTTTTGTGGGTGTTGGGCTGGTAGCCTGCTTTATTAGAAAATTGTAATTTCATTTTGAGATGCTCCAGACTAAATCATTTGAGCTTCACACTCTTTGTGTAATATTATTGGGCTGCCTTAATGAAATTATAACTCAAGCAAGAGATTTCATTCCCTGGTAGTAAATTAGCTTGGGCCGTGCAGGCTCGGGGAGAGCCAGTCCTCCCTGGCTTATTCTTCTTGTTCAGGGAATGAAGAAGGAGCAGGCGTTTTGTATTTGAGTTATTTATTGTTCTCTTTGAGTGAACGTTATATTGTTACCCGTCCCTACTGGAAACAACAGCTGTTAACAGGCTTCAGAATGAATTTCAATGTGAACTCCCCTGGCCCCTGGGAAGCTTGGCTAAAGAGAAAACAGGCTCATAATGGAAAGAAAAAGAGCGGGATCCAGGCCTGGGTCTGGACGCCTCAGGCCAGCTGCATATAAAACCGCCAGTCACCGGGGTCCTGGGACATCCCATTCAGACGTGTGCTGAAATGGGAGTGCTGTCAACAGTCCTTTCTGACCACAGAGGCAGACAAAGGCAGCCTGAGGCAAATAGTGACCTTGCTCAACACCCTGCCCTCATATACCAGAGGAGACAGAAAGTGTCCCGCAGGACAAAGTAGCCACACCCCTGGCACTAGGGCCCTGGATAACCCAACCACAGGGGGAGCAGGAGTGACTCTCACAACAATGTAACACAACGGCTGAGCAGTGGTGGCGTTTCCAGGTCTCGTATTTTTAATAATGCGGTCAAGATGCCTATGGGATATAATGAATCATACAGACTTGGCGGGTAAGAGATCGCAAGAGGCAGGAATCTGAGAACAGCGGAGGACTCCTCCGCAAGGCCGTCGGTTCTGCTTATGGACAAGTGCTCCCACCTCCTGTGGTTAAATCTAGTCGGTGGAACCCCTAAAATCAGGAGCTTTCCTTTGGGCTCCCTTTATTAGTCATTTCTTTGTGTCTCCCAATTGTACATGCAACATGCAATTCCTCCATCTCTCAGCTGAAGAGAGAAATTGCTGAGACCGTGGAAGGAACATCTCTCATTGATCACGGGTGGTACTTCCCACTTGGGTCCATCTTCCCGCCGGCCGTACTCAGGGATGTCCAGTGCCCAGGTTGCCTAACCAGTCTTGCTCAGCTCACCCACCACCGGGGCTGCAGGCAGAGGGCATCCCCTGGGATTCCTTCCACTGCTGCAGTGACACGGTGCCCCTCCCAGGAAGACCTCCTCCGGGCGGGGAGCCCGCACTGCTTCCTCCTCCACCTGCCATCTCACCTCTCCCTTCCTCTTCCTCCCGTAATTCTACTTCCCAAATGCACACTAAGTATATTTTACAGCTTTGAGACCATTATTTTCATGCCTGTCAAGCCCACAAAGCAAGTTCACTAATGGTGGGAAATAGTGTTGGCTTTTTTTTGCACAGATGCTCTTTTCATTGTGGAATGTCTTTACTTGCTTTAGCCGCTCTCTGTGAAATGACCTCAGTCTAGCAGACCCTGCCCCACCCAGCATCCTCTAAGCTCCTGCAAGGCTGTTGCCCTGGAGACGATTACTTCGAGTTTTGAGGGACGTGGAACAAAAGGAGGGGAGATGCCAAAAATAAGAAAAGAAAAAAGATAGAAATCATAACGGTTAAAATTGAATGGAGAGGGGAATTTGATAAAATGCTGTCAGAAATCCAATAAAAGACTGAACCTGAATGAAGTGGCTGAAACCAAAACGACCTTTCAACCTCCCTTGTCCAAAACCTCCGTAATAAGAGCATATGAAAGCACTGAGTTTTTCTGAAACTCGATGTCAAAAGAGCATTTCTGTTCTTTTCTTCCCAGACAAAGTGAGCATGTTGTCAGCCTTCATCGCTCCCTTCAAGCACTTGAGCCCTGGGGCCACTAACACGGAGGATGACGACAATCTAAGTAAGCAACCCCGTCCCTGAAGAGTGGGGTCCCAGCCTGATGTCCCCAAAGACTGGGATCCTTGGGGTGATGTGGGGGAGGCAGAGGGGTACTATCTGAGTTTCCCAGAACAGGAAGTTTTCTTCCTGTCCCCACCTGGAGTCCTACCCTCACCTGGGGGGTAGGGAAATACTAGTTGTGTGATTGAGAACTCCAGGGGTTTTGTGTGTGTGTGTGTGTGTGTATATATATATATATATATATACTTTTTTTTTTAGTTATTCTTCCTCTCTTTCCTGTGTTTTTCCTTCAAAAAAAAGAAGAAGAAAGAAGAAAAACATAGTCTCTTTGAACACAGTTCGTACAATTATTTAACATGGGAAGAGCTGGCCGGGTGCCTGCTTGTTGAAACATCTCTGGCACGTGAAACTGGAGAGACACCCGCAGTGTGGTGCGGGGACCGAAACGCTGGCTTGGGGGAGGGGACCTCAGCAGTGTCCTTGCGCAGACTACTGAGGAGGCAGAGCCCAGGGACTGGAGTGGGAGAGTCTGGGTGTGACTGGCATGCATTGTACTCGCCTCTGGTGTGTAGCATATTGTCAGGCATTTAAACAAGGGGGTGAACATTCAAAGCCATATGAACACCTCTTACATTTCAACATTACCTAACAGAGGGGTCACCTTCTCAGCCAGAAAGAGGTGGGAGCGTGCTTGCTGTCCTGGGATGGGAATTACTGGCGGTCACTAGGATCATTGACCTGACCAAGCAGCAGCAGTGGGGGTGGGAGTTGCATGGGAATGTTGTCCATTTGCCATCAGCTCTTAAGAAGCACGACACATCTGCAAGAATAGCCCCTTCCCACAAACGTAACTATCAACAAGACTGAAAACTGAGGTGATTGCCCTGGGTTATCCCACTGAAGCAAAGTCGAAGAATCACTGGGTGTCAAACCAGAACAAACCCTAGAGATGCTCTAGTTTTAGTCCTTTGTTTTCTAGATAAGGAAGGAAAGGCGTGGAGGATGTGGCGAAAGTCACGTAGGAAAAAGAACACAGGTGTCCTGGCTATCCGTTCAGGGCTCCTTCCTCAGCGAACACCTAGGTCACAGTGGAACGTGAACAAACGATTGTTTCTGTCTCTCATGATTGGAAAACTCCTAGAATGTAGTCAACGTATTGCTAGCATAAGGAATAAAATCTTACTGTTTCCATGTCTTCCCACCGAGCTGCGGAAGCCCTGGCTGTTAGCCTCTCCACATGGAAGTAGCTCTCCCCTTCCAACGGCTCCCAGGCTAATGACTTGTGATGCCAGAATAGTTCTGAAAGCAGAAGCCCAGTGGGCACACCTCTGGTGCCATCTCCATGTCACTAGCCCTGTGCTCTATGGTCACTAGCCCTGCTATGAATATCACTGCTCAGACTCTCAGAGACTCGTTCCTAAGACAGGGACAGTGACATGGAATTGAGGTCAGAATCAAATAAGATAGCACATGAAGACGTTTTAGACAAGGACCTGGGACATATAAATGCTCTATCCAGGTTGGTCAGTACCAGTAATTAAGGCTATTTTTTCCTAATTCAGCTCACTGACTAGTAGGTAAAAACTTACAGATAAGAGTGAATTTTATTTATTACATGTTAAAATGCCTTTGAAATGCTTGGAAAGTCTTATTTTCTATCAGTGGATTAGTCATCCCCTTTGTAATATGTGCTGTTAATATACTTAGAAAACCCTATTTTCATACACTGTTCAAAGATACACCTCCAAATGAATGTGTTTGTCTTACTCAACATCTCTCGCTACTATTACCCATGCAGCCCCTCAACTTACTGCCCAAATGCCACTGGGTGGTGAAAGAGAAAGAGTGCACCTCCCCTAAAGGGTGTGTGTGTGTGTGTGTGTGTGTGTAAAGTATGTGCGGTGTGCATGGTGTATGTGTGATCTGTGTGTGGTGTGTGTTCTGTGTTTTGTGTGTATAATTTGTGCGTGGTATATAATAAATGTGATGTGTATGGTGTGTGTGCTCATATGTGTGATGTATGTGCAAAGTTTGTATAGTGTGTGTGGTATATATATTATGTGTGTCTGTGTGTGTTATATGTAATGTGGGTGCAAAGTGTGTGTGCATGTAGTGTGCATGATGTGTGTAATGTGTGTCTACATGTATGTTGTGTGTGTGTAAAGTGTATGTGGTGTGTGTGATGTGTGTGTAGTGTGGTGTGTATAATGGATGTTCACTGTGTGTGCATGTGTGTACACACACATATGCAGGGAGGAAAGGTAGGTGGTAGAGGCAAGTGTGTCCTTGCTTTGAAGTCTCTTGTTTCTATCTACAAACTAGGGAACGGGTGTGTCTGGGTTGGTTTAGGATGAAGTTCCACGATTGAGGACCATCTCCCTCCCGTGGCTCCGGCTCTCACCTCTGCTCCTTCCCTCGGGCTGAGCTCCAATGTCCAGGGCTGAGCAGGGGTCAGGGATCCATAGCCAGACAGAGACTCGGCCTGAGAGGGGCCAGTGCTTGGTGAGCCCACCTGGCAGCCAGCCATCAGCAGGCTGGGTTCTGGCTCACAGTCAGCCAGATAATGCCATATTTCAGCCCACGCCTACGCTGGGAACCCTGAAAGCTTTCTTCTTTGAACACTGAGGAGAGTGGTCACTGGCCCTGCCCCATCGCCTCTGCCCCTGACACTGACCAGAGGTGTCACCTGAGGAGGGTTGAGACGCGGATCTGGGCCACAGGCCTACACAGTCCATGCCCTTTGCATGGGTCTGAGGGAGGGCAGCCCCGCCACCCGAGATGCCAGCAGCTCAGCTCCCAGGCAGCAGGACAAGTCTTGGAAGGAGGCCGTGCTGTCCTGCTGCAGAGCCTGATCCGAGAGCATAGAAGGAGGCCGTGCTGTCCTGCTGCAGAGCCTGATCCGAGAGCATCGGTGACTGGCCAGTGTATGACCACACAGCCAGGACCTTGCAATCCATATTGTGAGTCACCAGGTCTGCCGGACCGGCCGCCACAGCCTCCCCGCTTTCTTACCCTGAAGCACAAAGACCTTCTTCCTGCACAAATGGAGAGAAGGCCCCCATTGCTCCTGTCGCTGCCTGGTCTGGGTAGGATGGGTGGAGCGGACGTTGCCCTCTGACCTGCAGACACAGTAGTGTCTATTAGTGAGGCAGTGTGAGGAAAAGTTCCCAACAACTCAACTACTGCAAACACCAGCTGCATATTGACCAGACGCTGGCCTGGGGACAGGGACGCGGAGGAGGCAGATGCTGGCACCTCACACGGGCGCCTGCATTCTGAGCGGGTGATAACACAGTGAGACGGCAGCCGGGACCTCGCCCCAGCAAATGCAGCCCAGTCATTGAACTTCGTTCTGAAAGATGTATTTCACCTGGAAAATAAATGTTTAACCACAGCCATGATATATAAAATTCCACCCTTTCTTTCCAGAATGCCCATTCGTCACTTATCAGATAGGTTATCAGAGAGAAAGAGAGAGACACATCCTCCTAATGTTCATTACAGTATAATTGTTATAATTGTTCTGTTATTATTTGTTATTGTTAATCTCTTACTCTGCCTCATTTGTAAATTAAACTTTGTCATAAGTAGGTATGTACAGGAAAGAACATGGTATATATAGGGTTTGTGCTGTCTGAGCTTTCAGGTAGCCACTGAGGGTCTTGGAATGTACCCCCCACCAATAAGGGGGAACGACACTATGTTCTGATGTGTCAGGGTTTTTCCTGAGCCTATTATACGTGTTCCTTCAGTTCAACCTCATAATAATCCTGTAAGTCAAGCGTTATTAAAACCCACATGTTCCATCTTAAGAAAATTGGAGTGTGGGTAGTCTGAGAGACTTGTTCAAGTTCACACCTACAGGAAGGATGGAGAGGGCTTTCCCTAGAGCCAGTGGAGTGGCCCCTCCCGCCCTGCCTGGTTCGGGCTCAGCACCCCAGCAGAAACCAGCATGTGGGCTGTGCTGGAGGGAGCTGGGCCCCCAATCTGCTCACTTGCAAAACCCAGTGGGTAACATCGCTCCAGAGATTGTAGCTAGTGTATCCAGGAGGAGGCCAGAGCTCTGCATTGTTATCAGTTATTAGATATTGATCAATTTGAAAGGATGCCACCCTCTGATCATCATGTCTAGGCCGTTGAAAACTAATAATGACCATCGTCATCGGATACTGAGTGCATGGGAGAGAAGAGCCCAGAAGCAATCTTGGTGAGGGGAGGGGAAGTTCCCCACCGGGAGGGCTGTTGCTCCAAGATAAACCTTTCTACTTGAAAAGGCAGCTGAGGTCATCTGATATGCCGGCCACCTTAATCACAGGCGCGGCTCCCTCCATCCCCACATCGTGAGAAATCAATAAGAAATCAGAGCACCCAGTAAGTTTCAGGCAATCTGTTGTGCAGCTTTTTGGCCGGGTTAATTTTTTTCCATCGTTATGTCCAATCTGGGAAGCTGTGTGGTTAATCCGACCCACTGTCCTGGGCCTGAGATACCCACAGGGCGGAGCTCCTGGCGGCGGGACCCAGGTGCGTAATGATGCAGAGAGGGACTGAGTGGGCGCTCGATACCTGTAGGTAATTATTCCTACAAAATAGTCTGTGAGCGATGCCATCCACCTCTAACTTATAAAAGGCTCGGGTTTACTCCTTTGGACAGAATTAGCTCTACAGACCTAACATCCTATAGACACAAACCACCAGGGGACATATAACAGAGCCGCCTCGCAACTTAGAGAACAGAGCCCAGACGCAGCCGACGGATCTGCAAACAGCCCTGACTCTCGCCACAGCCCTGACTCTCACCACCGCCTGGGGACTGCCGGGGCTGGTGGCCAAGGCGTCACCAAGAGCCCCCCCCCGAGCTGGGAGGACGCACAACCCGGGACCCAGAGAGGAGCCTTGCCCAGTGTGAGACACCGCCCGGAGGCACCCGTTGGTACTTTCCCATTATTCTCCACTGCGGAGCCATGAGGATGAGGGTCTCCCCAGCTCGGCCAGGCTGAGGGGAGAGTGCTCAGCGTCCATTTACAAGCTGCAGGCTGGCTGTAAAAATCACCCCAAGGTCCCACTTGCTTCACAAGAGAAAACTCATAGCCAACCTGCTGCCCAGCCACCCGGAGCCCCCGAGATCCTGGTTCCCACGGAGAAATCGAAGGGCTCAGAGGTGCGTCTGCCTGGGGTCTGGGCCCTGCGTGGAGTCCTGGCCCTGCCTCCTTACCTCACACATCCGCCCTCTCCAGTGGCAGGCTATGCACTCTCAGCACCTCATTCCCTCCCAGAGGCGGGCGTCCCTGTGAAATGGCGGAGGAATGTGGCACTGTCGGTGCCCATACATCCACCTTCAGAACAAGACATTCCCAGGGTGAAATGCTTCTCGGCCAGGTATCCACCTGGTCCGCCTCTCTGAGCCTCAGCTTCCCCTCCTAGAAAATGCTGCTGTGACACCCACCGCCACAGAGATGTGAGGAATAAGAAAGGTGCCGGAGCGGAGGTGCTCTGGGCTCGGTGACAGGGAACTGCACGGTGGGACCGTCATCCCGGAGCGTTTCATAGGACACTGGGTCAGCATTCCAAAAGCGTCTTCGCCAGGGACTCTGGTCCTGCGGTTCTGTGACGATCCAAGCTGAGGTTTTCTAAACAGAACAGTTTCCCTTGCCAAGAGTGATCCAAGGGAGCCGAGAGCCTGTCCAGAAAAGCTAAATCACTGCACACATCCACCACGTATAGTTTGCAAGGGATGACTTTGCTAAATTTAATGCCTTCCTCTTTTTTTTTTGCAAAAGATTAAAACATCACCGATACAAATGAAGCCTCCACCTGGGCCCCCATTAGTTCCCTCCTTGTCTCCCAGGAAGGTTAGCATCTAAGTTTCACCATTGTGACTGATCCCACAAACCACATGCAGTGCCTGTGTGGTTATAATTTATATTAACGGCATCGCACTCTGTGTATTACTTTTCAAGTTGCTTTTATCATGCAAATTATGCTTCTGAGTTTCCTCTATGATGAAGCAGGTAAACCTGGCTCATCAACCATGAGAGCTATCGAGGGTTCCATCCTATGATCGTGCCACAACTCAGTTACCAGTCTGCACACAGGGCAGCCCCGTGTGGCTCTCAGTGCTGCCGGCAGCGGCTAGAAAGGGCCACCTGTGACTCGGTTTGGGGGAGGCCTCAGGAGAGGGGGGCAGAGGGCCTACGACATCTCAGCCACACTCAGAGCAGCAGGTGGGCGCCCCTGTGAGCAGGTCAGGCTCACCACATCCACACGCCACATTCTCAGAAATGCAGGAACTGCTCAGGGCTGGTGTCCTCCCTCCTCCTGAGCAGTCGGCCCCACGTTCAGGGAAGCTTAGTAACTCCTGTCAGCCTCGAAAGGAAGTGGCTGGGCTCCTGTGCACAGCGCAGTCTGCAGAGGTGTCTGTCTCCAGGCGCGCTGAGACCCCTGGTCACTGCTGTCTGTTCTCACCTCCAGGTACCAGCAGCGCAGACGTGAAGGAGAACCGAAATGTGAGCAACCTGGAGGCACGGCCACTGCCCGCGGGCGACAGAGCCCGAGGCGGTGCGCCTGGCGTGAAGAGGAAAAGGCCCCTGGAGGAGGGCAACAGCGGCCACTTCTGCAAACTGCAGCTGATCTGGAAGACGCTCTCGTGGTCGATGACGCCCAAGAACGCGCTGGTGCAGCTGCACGAGCTGCGGCCCGGCCTGCAGTACCGGATGGTGTCCCAGACCGGCCCGGTGCACGCGCCCGTCTTCGCTGTGGCGGTGGAAGTGAATGGGCTCACGTTCGAGGGCACCGGGCCCACCAAGAAGAAGGCCAAGATGCGGGCAGCCGAGCTGGCCCTGCGCTCCTTCGTGCAGTTCCCCAACGCCTGCCAGGCCCACCTGGCCATGGGCAGCAGTCCCAGCCCCTGCACGGACTTCACCTCCGACCAGGCCGACTTCCCCGACACGCTCTTCAAACAGTTCGAGCCCTCGGCACCCAGTGCAGCC